TCTCTCTCTCTCTCTCTCTCTCTCTCTCTCTCTCTCTCTTAATACAGCGAGTGAAAGCGACGGGTGCGAGCGAGTACCTTAATTCCCAAACATTTTCCGAACTTCCGCACGCCGCGCGATTACTTACGACAGCTATGAAAAATCGTGCGCCTTCAAGCTCCGACTTTGAGTTCCACGCACCCCCGTTGACATTTACGAGGGTGGAAGCGATGGTAACACATAACTACGCCGCATAGAGAGCGTAGCGGCCGGCACAAACGTACGTGAACGGAAACTACGTCGTTGTTAAGATGATACGCGATCCCACTCGGGTGTTCGATTTCTCGCACGAAACGAAATTAAACGCGGAAAGGAAAGATGTGGTTGCGGCCCGCATCGGGCCGCATTCGTCCGAACCGCGCGGTACGCGCAATATGTCGACGCCCGTGTCGGCGACCGGGCGATCGCGGTGGTCAAGAGAATTCATCGTCAATCGGGAAACTGTCACGGCACGTAACTGCGGCAACGAGACGACTACCGCGTACGCGTCTCGCGTCACGCCTACGCACGGAAAATAAGCGAGCGGAAATCCGATGCGGATACGCGGCGTCTACGGCCTACGACGCGGCGCGGCTCCGATCGGTCTGAAGTCGGCCGACTGTGCGTCGCGACGCCGGTCGCGTCGCACTCGCGCGCGCGATACTACGGCGCCATCTCACAGCTGTTCCATTGCACATAATAAAAAAATATGTGTACGTGTTGCGTGCGTGTGTGTGTGTGTGTGTGTGTGTAATTTCATATTTTTCAATGTGCGACCAATATACAGGGTGAGTCTAAATATGTGATATAATCGGGAAGGGAGAGTAATCTTCTATGATTTAAAATAAGTTGAAATGATGGAATAATCTTTTTTTATATTATTAATAAGACTTCGTTTTTGGAAAAGAATTTTGAAGGTTAATCGAGTACATATACACTTGACTGATATTTAATATTTTCTTGCATTCTATATGTCTTGTTTACTATCGGGATTAACTAGTTTAATTAGTTGATTTTTAACCAACTGCAATAAATTTTTTTTAATTCTTTCCGTCTGCAATCATATTTTTATTCTTTTCGTTTATAATGTGGATATTTTGTCCAGCTCGTTTTTTTTATTGTTTTAAACTTTTAAAAAAATCCAGGAAAATTCAAGATTACTTTTCAATATCTCTATTACATTATATATTATCTATACATTATATATATATTAAATAAATTTCTAACTTAAATTTTGAAAAATGTTAACTTTAATTTAATAGAAAGCCCTGTATTTCGGGGAAATTTGAAAGTGAAATTTTGCTTTTGACTCAAATTGCAGACAAAAGATTAAAATAAACGAATGAATTTGTGTGAAATCAAAAATAATTTTAAGTTTTACGCATTTTATTTCTTATTTAATTCAGATCGAAAATGTTGGCATATTTGTTGAAATGTTTTGTTATATTTTGCGAATTAAAATAGAATATATGTTTTTAAGGTATTATGCTTTTGACTTTTTTTAAGATGTTAAATTTTAAAATCCTTTTTCTTAAAAAACAAGATATTCAACAAAAATTTACTGTTATTTCGATTTATCTTGCGCCATAAGATTACTCCTTCTGATTATTGTATTTAGGTTGGTGTATTTAGGTCTACTCTGTATATGTAGTAATAAGAAAACACATCATAAATAGAAAATCCACTTTTAAAGCGATCTGTAATTCTATTCTGAATTCTGACTTGTAGATGTTATGTGAAATAGAATTAAATATCAAAGCATTTGTTTATATATATTTTAAAGTTTGTTTTATATAAATATTTTTTACTCATAATATGAAACTGTAATATATGAAACAGTTGTGTTTTGTGCACAAAGACAAGGATGAGGACAAAAATTAATTGTAACAATCTCTTTATAACAATACAAAAATTTATTTTTTTTTTTTTGTATTTATCTTGAAGTGTGTGTATATATATATATATATGTGTGTGTGTGTGTGTGTGTGTGTGTGTGTGTG